TCTGGAACAAGACAGGGATGCCCTCTCTCTCCACTTCTCTTCAACATAGTTCTCGAAACACTGGCCAGAGCAATTAGACAGACGAAAGAAATTAAAGGCATAAAAATAGGAAAAGAAGAAATTAAATTATCACTATTTGCAGATGATATGATTCTATATCTAGCAGACCCAAAAGGCTCTACAAAGAAACTATTAGAGCTAATAAATGAATTCAGCAAAGTGGCAGGATTTAAAATCAACACGCATAAATCAAAGGCATTCCTGTATATCAGCGACAAATCCTCTGAAATGGAAATGAGGACAACCACTCCATTCAAAATATCTTCAAAAAAAATAAAATACTTGGGAATCAACCTAACAAAAGAGGTGAAAGACTTATACAATGAAAACTACAGAACCCTAAAGAGAGAAATAGAAGAAGATCTTAGAAGATGGAAAAATATACCCTGTTCATGGATAGGCAGAACTAACATCATCAAAATGGCGATATTACCAAAAGTTCTCTATAGGTTTAATGCAATGCCAATCAAAATCCCAATGGCATTTCTTGTAGAAATAGAGAAAGCAATCATGAAATTCATATGGAAAAATAAAAGACCCAGAATAGCAAAAACAATGCTAAGCAAGAAGTGTGAATCAGGCGGTATAGCGATACCAGACTTCAAACTATACTACAGAGCAATAGTAACAAAAACAGCATGGTACTGGTACCAAAACAGGCGTGTGGACCAATGGTACAGAATAGAGGACACAGAAACCAATCCACAAAACTACAACTATCTTATATTTGATAAAGGGGCTAAAAGCATGCAATGGAGGAAGGATAGCACCTTCAACAAATGGTGCTGGGAAAACTGGAAATCCATATGCAACAAAATGAAACTGAATCCCTTTCTCTCGCCATGCACAAAAGTGAATTCAAAATGGATCAAGGAACTTGATATCAAATCAGAGACGCGCCGTCTGATAGAAGAAAAAGTTGGCTACGATCTACAGTCGGTGGGGTCGGGCTCCAAATTCCTCAATAGGACACCCATAGCACAAAAGTTAATAACTAGAATCAACAAATGGGACTTACTCAAACTAAGAAGTTTTTTCTCAGCAAAAGAAACAATAAGAGAGGTAAATAGGGAGCCTACATCCTGGGAACAAATCTTTACTCCTCACACTTCAGATAGAGCCCTAATATCCAGAGTATACAAAGAACTCAAAAAATTAGACAATAAGAGAACAAACAACCCAATCAACAAATGGGCCAAGGACCTGAACAGACACTTCACAGAGGAGGACATACAGTCAATCAACAAGTACATGAAAAAATGCTCAACATCTCTAGCTGTCAGAGAAATGCAAATCAAAACCACCCTAAGATACCATCTCACTCCAGTAAGATTGGCAGCCATTAGGAAGTCAAACAATAACAAGTGCTGGCGAGGATGTGGGGAAAAGGGTACACTTGTACATTGCTGGTGGGACTGCAGATTGGTGCAGCCAATTTGGAAAGCAGTATGGAGAGTTCTTGGAAAGCTGGGAATGGAGCCACCATTTGACCCAGCTATTCCCCTTCTTGGTCTATTCCCTAAAGACCTAAAAAGAGCATGCTACAGGGACACTGCTACATCGATGTTCATAGCAGCACAGTTCACAATAGCAAGACTGTGGAACCAACCTAGATGCCCTTCAATAGACGAATGGATAAAAAAAATGTGGCATTTATACACAATGGAGTATTACTCTGCATTAAAAAATGACAAAATCATAGAATTTACAGGGAAATGGATGGCATTAGAGCAGATTATGCTAAGTGAAGCTAGCCAATCCCTAAAAAACAAATGCCAAATGTCTTCTTTGATATAAGGAAAGTAACTAAGAACAGAGTAGGGACGAAGAACAGGAGAAGAAGATTAACATTTAACAGGGATGAGAGGTGGGAGGGAAAGGGAGAGAGAAGGTAAATTGCACGGTAATGGAAGGAGACCCTCAGGGTTATACAGTGGAGGGGGTAGAGAGAGAGGAGGGGAGGGGAGGGGAGAGGTGGGGAGGGGGGAGGGTGGATGATGGGAAAGGCAGCGGAGCACAACAGACACTAGTATGGCAATTTGTAAATCAATGGATGTGTAACTGATGTGAATCTGCAATCTGTGTATGGGGTGAAGGTGGGAGTTCATAACCCACTAGAATCAAAGTGTGGAATATGATATGTCAAGAAATTTGTAATGTTTTGAACAACCCACAATAAAAAAATTAAAAAAAAAAAATAAAAAAAAAAATAAAAGAATGAATTTTAAAGACTCAAAAAAAAAAAAAAAAAAAAAAATATAATCATTAATCTCCAAAACTGTTACCATGGCCAAGTTCCTTATGCAACATATTACTTCTCCCAGTCCCACTGGTCAGCTCTCATCTTCTAGAAGGCTGCTCTAGCACAGCTGAATCATCAACCAAGTTACTAGTCCTTGGGCACAGCTCCTCCTGAGTGTTTTTATACTTGCTACTGCCTCTGCCTAGAAACTTCTTCCCCCAGATTTATCACTTGTCTATCCAAACATCCATTATTGAAGAGAAAAATAACTACTTATAAAAATCACTTAACTCACCCACTTACACTTTCATGTTTCCTTCATAGGACATCCTACCACTTGGTGTATTAAAATTTATTTGAATATTTATCATCTCTCTCTCTCTCTACTTATAGGTTCTATAAGGGTTACTACTTTGTTTCATTTCTATCCTTGCCCTGTGCCTGAAGTAGTCCTTAGTAAGGCAAGGCAATCGATTAATACTGAAGGATTACCCAGAGCAGTTAGATATTAAATGTGATATGTTTATATGTTTCATATTTGCCATGATTCCACACTTCCTTCCTAGAGCTAAAATAAGAAGAAAAATGGAGAGTAAAGATTACAGCTAGGTGCCGTGGTGCATGCCTGTAATCCCAGTGCTCAGGAGGCTGAGGCAGAAGGAACAGGAATTCAAAGTCAGCCTCAGAAATTTAGTGAGGCTCTGTGTCAAAATACAAAATAAAAAGGGCTGGGATGCAACTCAGTGGTTAAGCACCCTTGGGTTCAATCCCCAGTACAAAAAAAAAAAAAAAAAAAGATTACGGTGCTGGCATTTACCAATGATCTTTAAACAACTTTCTCTAACACAGTGAGTTCAAACACATCTAAACAAGCCTTAAAATTTCAGATATAGAAACGCTTGATACTTCAAACCATCACCACCCTTGACCTCACTGTAACCACCACTAAAGTACATGCTATCTTGTTAAAATGTTGAGGAAAATTCTTTAATATGCAAAAGGATACAATTTTAAGAAAAATGTTGAATAAAAACTATAAAAGAAAGAACAAACTTCATGAAGGAGTTGTGATAAACTTACTGAACATAAGAAACACACACACTGTTCACTTTGCCCGGTGCAGTGGCGCAGCCTTATAATCTCAGTGGCTCAGGAGGCTGAGGCAGGAGGATCACTAGTTCAAAGCCAGCTTCAGCAAAAGCAAGGCTCTAAGCAACTCAATGAGACCCTGTCTCTAAATAAAATACAAAATAGGGCTGGGGATGTGGCTCGGTCATCGAGTGCCCCCGAGTTCAATCCCCAGTACAACACACACACACACACACACACACACACACACAGAGTTCACTTTTGAAGCCTGGGAAGTTAGTGGCATTACCATATTCACATTACAATATCTGAGGAGTTAAAACATTCTTCTAAATACCATTTGACAATAACTGAGAAAACCAGCAACTAAAATTCCAAAATAACATTCTTCCACTGATTTTAAAAATAATTCCTAATTAAGAAAGCAAAATACAGACTCCTTTTCTAGCATTCTAAGCTACATTTTAAAAATCTTGATTTTCAATATGCATATACTATAAGCCCAAATCAGAAATGAACTAATTCTAAGATGTCACAAGCCAAGGAAGGCACTGTTTAAATGAAGCATTCAATGCAAAAAGGGAGGGCTGGGATTGGGGGAGGATATGAAAGGATAATGTGAAGAAATAAATTCCAGAATTAAATCCTACAATGCCATCTATATGACTATGAAGGGGTCAAAAAATAATGTTTCTTTATAATTTCCTTAGTACAATTTTAATTTCTAAGTTCAGTACTTTCATTCATCCTCATTACAGGCATTCCCTAACTTAAGTGACTGTTCTCTAAAATTTTGCCTATTGGGTTTTTTCAATTTGAGAAATATTTTCAAATCAAAACCTTTGCTGGGTTTTGCCCAGCAAAACCAGGGTATACTCTATTATCCAAAAGCAGTCACTAGGGTTTGGGTCCCTGTACAAATCACCAGTGCTGCAGTGGGAGGAGCAGGAGTGGGGGACAGGAAGGGGAGGATGAGACCCTGTCTCTGCTCCAAGGCAGGTTCCAAGAACAGCCACTCCCTGAAACAACTGCTAAGACTAGCTGGCTAGTCTTCCTGGGGTGCTTTCTGATAAATAGCAGAGGAAGCCTTCCTTCCCTCTGCTCATGTCAGCAGCACCCAGCTCTCCTAAGGATTTCCCTAAGGCAGAGGTTCTCAAGTGGGGGCAATTTTGCCACTGAGAGGACGTAGGTCAGGATTTAGAGACATATGAAGTGGTCACATCTGAGGATCCATGGAGTGAAAGCTACTGCCCCGATTGAGCAGAGGCTGCTGAACATCCTACAATGCACAGGGCGGTTCCACAACAAACTGTCCATCCCAAAATGCCCAAGTGCCCAGGTTGAGAAACCCTCTTGCAAAGGTTTATATTTGGTTACAATAAATAATCAGGCAAGGAAGAGGAAGAGGCTGGGATAAAGATGTAACCAGAAGAGCATGACAAGAAAGTCAATAACAAAAGGAACAGATTTCCTAGGTCTGTCCTGCTTTTCGAGATGGTTACTGCATACGAGGAACCCATCTGAGCTAAGAATACGGAAAGCAGGCCCCTTTATACAGAATTACCAAGGAAATGAAAAAGAGCTTTTTTCAAAAGTTGCGAAAACTGACCGTAGAGCAATAATCTTTCAACAAAACAGGATATTGAATTATTGCTTCAAAAGCCGACAACGTGACCTTGATAAATTCTTCTGATGCTGTCAGCCCTAGGAACACATTTAATCATTATTAGTAAAGGTGTTTATTTTCTAAATCACAATATCGAAATGCCTCAAACATTGTATGTTGTGTGGTCTACTCACCTATAGCTCCATCTATGTTAGTTTCTCCCGAGTCAATTGATTTAATATGACTCTGAAAAATAGAAAATAAAAATTTTTAATAAACGGAAGTTTAAAAATAACTTTAAAAAAAATTAGGTAGTTAGTATTCCTCCCAAAACTGTATCTACCATTTTTAATGAAACAACTCTTAAAAAACATTAAATACACTCTACATATTATGAATACCATAATCATAGTTTTAAAACATGACTGTAATACTAAAAGTTATAAACTATAATTTTTTAAAGAAATTTTTTAGTTGAAGATGGACACAATACCTTTATTTATTTTATGTGGTACTGATGACTGAACCCAGTGCCTCAGATGTACCAAGCAAATGCTCTACCACTGAGCTTCAACCCCAGCCCATAATCATTTTTAAATATACAAATCATCATCAATGAGATTTAATGCTAGAATACATTAAATAGCAACTGAGAAGGTAAGAATGATCCAACTGATCCATAATCATTTCCAGCAACATGCCACACTGACTCTCAATACCTGGGATATTAGTAACAATGACACCCCATTCCTTCCAAGAGCTCTTCCAGCCCACCTGCCTGGTTCTCCCCCACTCTCCCAACTGATATTATTCATGTTTTTAAACATTTTGCTGCATATTCACATATCCCTAAATAGTACATTTTTGGTATGGGCATTTACTCAAACTGCATCCCTTTCATACAAATGGAAAAGTATGTAGCCATTAAAATGCTCAGAAAAAGAATATTTTTTAAAAAAATATATGGATAAGAATTAAAATACTTATGTTAAATTCAAAAAGTAGAATAGAAACACACACAAACACACTGTGTGTATATACACAGTCTCAATCACATATGTCATAGGTATAATTTCTTCTATAAACAAATGCATACATATGAATAAAATATTAAGGAAACAACATATTAACAGTGGTTATTTCTGGGTGTAGAGTTGTGATTTTATTTTTTTCATATTTCACTATAATTTTCCACATTTTCTCTAACAAGGCTGCACTTTATATTTTAAATGAATAAGCATAAATTACTCTTAAAACAAGAAAAAAATCTTAAAGACATATTTACTTTCCAGGTTATAAAGAAAATCACAATCTACGAAATGACAATTGAAAATTCCAGATATTCTGAATTCTCTTTTTCTATCTATGAATAAACAAAGAAAAAACAGACTATATATTTTAAAAGGGAGATAATTATAAGCTTTTCATAATAATAATCTGGCTAAAATAGTTTCAAGAAATTCCAAAATGGGACATTTCTTTTGTAAATAATTATTAATTTGATGCTAAAGAAAATATTTGGAGGTACCTTTGGCTATAATAAACCCACTTAATGGTCTAAGTCTTACTGTAGATGACAGGCACATAGCATTGTCAATGCCATGATCCTTCTCATGTAATTACTTTGAAAGAATATGTAGATAATATACAGATACTGAGGACATTAACATAAATTTTCCAGAAGGAGATCACAGAAAGGACAGGCATCAGTTTCTTTCAGAGCCCAAGATGGGAGGTGTGCTGCCACTTTTCCTTTTCTGTACTCTTGGGATTTTCTAAGCACACATTTCTTTTTCTTTTTTCCAGTGTCAATGAGGGTTATCAACATGATGATATTATGGGTTTCTTATATAACTTCTTTATACTTCTCCTATTTAATTAAAAGTATTCCTACTGGATATTTCATTAATTTACCAATTTTAATGTTTTTTAATATACTTCATTCTTAGTGTAATAGAACATAATGAGGTAAGAGAATGGGTTAGGAGGCATTGGAGATTCGAGGAGAGAAGATATGAACAGTCATCAAGGTGAGCGTCAAAGTATATAAACTAAGAAAATAAACGAGATGTACAAGTCTGAGGGAGAGCTCAATTAAGACAAACAGTCATGTATTCAGGGTGAGAATAATGCAAGCTGTATTATCTCTTTTAAAAATATAAGAGGGCTGAAGCTGTGGCTCAGTGGTAGAGTGCTTGCCTGGCATGTGTGAGACCCTGGGTTCGATCCTTAGCACCACATAAAAATAAATAAATCAAGGTGTGTGTCCATCTACAACTAAAAAAATTTTTAAAAAAATAAAAAATAAATAAAAATAAAAGAGTGTTCCATCTCTGCTTTACCTACAACAGAAGCCAAAAGCTACCAAACCAACATTCACAGATAATAAAAAATCTACAGAGGTCACAAAGTGTGTCCTTTTTTGATAGAAATACATAATTAACACATTATGTACTTTTATAAACTGATAAGGGCCAGAACTGACGAAAATACAACAAAATCCTTTTCTTTAGCTCGTTAATCAAGCGTGTTTTCAAAAAGACCAAGAAATACAATGAACATTAGGTTAATATACATGGTAAGTTCCCTATTTTCTGTCATTATCTCCCATTTCCAAACCCAGTTCAATGGAGGCCCAAAACAAGTATGAAATGCACACTCCTCCTTGCAGCTCACCAAAGACTGACTACTAAAACTTGAAGAAGAAAAAAAAAAGTTATGATGACTGTTCATTTCTACCAATAAGAAGTGAAAACAGCAATTATCAGCTAAGTAGTACTCTTTAGCCCAGAGTCTTTGAAAGCTTGATATTGGTTTAAGAGTACCCTCCTAAACCATTTCCAAACAGCAGTCTATCTAAAATATAAGAAGACCAAAACCTTGTTTCACTTGAGGGGGGGGGGGGGCCTACAAAATGCAAATTTCTATAGTCATATTTCCATATACTAGTATAGAATTTTTCTGCCAAAAAAAATAAAAATAAAACAAAACCCAAAGATAAATGCCTTCAGGTCAAACAGGCAATCTGTGCTCCGGTGCCTTTATGCAAACTGAACCCAGTGTGGGAAGCACAATTCCAATGCCCTCTCTATCTTGCTCCTTATGACCCTTGAAACAGTGGACATCACACGGACATCGATGGCTTGTTCCACGCCCACCTCATGCAGGCCAGCATCTCCTGCAGAGCTGCTTCAATGGAACATCTTGTCGCTATTGGACACAGCTCTTAAGGTACACTACGAATGAGTGTACCTTAATTAAGGCACATTTTTAAAATATAAAAATGATAACATACCTGCTACATGGTAACGACCACTTTTATTTTAAAAAATATTAAAAATATTTTTTGTCTCCAGATGGACTAATAAGGCCTTCAAAGTACAATGCTATGGATGCAAACATGAATGGACTACTTCCTCATGTCACCAGCCCCAAAGAAACACTGTGATCTGGAAAGCTTCAAGCCACTGGGCTGAGTACTGGGTTACAAAACATTCACAGTTGTATAGCCCTCCCATGTCCCCTTCCCAATTTTAATATATGTTTAGGAATTCTTTGCTTAATCAAAATTATAAAAGAATTATTTTAAGGCAGAAAACTCCAGAGGTTTTACTTCTAGTAGGGTGTCTGATGAGTTGCCCATGTCTTATGACATGGATAGGGCATTATCTATCACTTGAGTAACAGTTTTGATGACATCTTGAAAAGATTATGAATTAACTCACAGAAGCAATGTCCAACTCTCAAGAGTTCATAATAAATTCACAAGAAGTGTAAGAAAAAATAAATCCAGGTCCTGAATTTCCATCAATAATTTACTCTCTGTAGTAGTATTTCATCAATGCCATCAACACTGAGTATAAGAAAGGTGAAAATCAGGGAAAGCTAACAAGATACAATAACAATAAAAAAAAATTCTGGAACTAGCCATGATTCAAACAAGGAAAATGACCTGAACAGAGCCAAAAGACCCATCTCCATTTCATTTCTCTAAATTCCCTTTATTTGGGTGAGATTACAATGGGAGGGGGAGGGAATAGGGCTAAAATTTTTTTCTCAAAATCATGATGAGATGTTTGAACAAGGAAAGTTATTTTCCATGTACTAAGATGACCCTACAGAATACTCAAGAGTACTCCCACACTTCCCTTCCTCAAGGTGGCCAACTCCCTTTTCTTTGGACACAGTATTGCAAGGAACAGGTATAATACCTGAAAGTCTATAAAGACTTTTAGGTTAGACACTTGTTAATTCCTTGAGAACGTACTGTGGGCAGAAAAAAGAACTAAGGAAGAAGAAAGAACACAGGATAATTGTACCTGAACAAACATGATGCCAAAATACTCCAAAATAAGCTATAAAGAACAAAACTACTCTTGACAGCGATGTGCTGGTGCAACAGGATTATAAACACTTAGAATTATAATCGTGCTAATATGGTACCCATATTCTACTTAAAAAGAGCCAATAAAAAAGCAAGTTAAAGATAGTTGTCTACAGATGACCACTGTAATTAATAATTTGCAAATTCACCAGTGAACTACCAAAACCACATACTTTATAGAATCTGGGCTTCAAGAGACTACAATGATAAAGATTTGAAATTGAACACAAAATGATCTCTACTGCATTGCCAGAACCCACTGTTTCCTGTCAGTAATATCCATTCAACACTTGTACTTAAAAACATCATACTTCACCATATGATGAACCTCTAGAAAATCATATTCTCACTTGTGGGTGGCAGTAATTTCTTTATTCCAAAATAACAATAAAGCTGAGATGCCTACTTCATTTTAACTAGATCCTTCTGTGGCATTTTGAAAATCTCAGTTCAGTTTATTACAAGTATCAAAGTCAGACTGGAGATGCTATCTGACAAGTACCTTGGCTTTTCCTTTGTGTACAGCTTTCTCATTTTATTCAACAATACACACTGTAACTACAATACACAAGGGAAAAGATAACTCAAAACTATATCCTAAACAAAAAGATAGTACAATGATTTAGTTTTCATTTCTACCTATGTCATGACATCAAAATTAAAGAAAAAACTAAGCTGAGTTTAACTCAGAGAAATGCCAACACAAAAAGATGTGACACAATTGGACAATGTAAGCCTAAATGAATAACAATGAGTACATATTCTTTGCATTCCATGTTCACCATTTTATTTTAAATTTGTTCATGATGTTTAATACCAAAATCAATGAAAGTATTTCTGTGGACTAACTTACCCTATTTGGGGTGATCTCTGAACAAAATACATTATCAGGAGTAAATATATTTTTCTCCAAATGTCAAATTTTATTACAGTCAACAGATTAAAAATATAAAAAGGTCACTTCCCTGGAGACAAATAAATGCCACAAGAATTTTTAAATTACCTCATATTGACATCAAATTCCACAAACAGAAGGATAAGACATTTTGAGTAAGAACATGAAAAACTTAAGTGCTACTCACAAGAATAGTTCCATAACTGAAAAGAAACTCTTCTGTTACAACTTGAGGTCGAAATACCTGTGTGTGATGAGAGTTTCCACAGATTAAATCCCGAAAACCATGAACAAATTTTGTTCAAGACACAAATAAAAATGTTTTTTCTGAATTGATGTTTCTCAGCTTCAGTTTACAAAGAAGTGAGCCAATTTATATTTTCTTTTCCCTAAAATGATGGTACGGTACCTGAGAAGTGACGAGGTGAAGTACTACAGGCATCAGGGGGAGGCACATCTTCAGCTGTTTTGCTTGAACTGTGGATGGGTGTTTCCGACCAGAGACATTAGCCAAGGCGTTGAGAATGTCACCTGTGAAGCATCCCAGAGCAGGCGCAGAGGTCAAAGATCACACGTGGAGGTGCCCATGGTCATTGCTTGATTACTAATTAATCTCCAAATAATGGGTCTAAATGGTATGACCTGTGTTCTTTTTATTCACAGGTACTGAGTTTAGAAGACACCATGGCCACTAGGGACAGAATGTAATATTCTGCATAAAAGCTATCAAATAAACTCAATCTCTCATCTAGAATTAAAAATAGAATTTACAAATAACTATTACACACTGGTTTTAGAAAATCTTTTTGTATTTTCCAAAGTTCAACTATGATCGCTTATTACTCTTATAAATAGGAAAAATTACTTTAAATTTTTAAGTGAACAGATAATGGATCATGACTTTTAAAAACCAAAGGATATATATAGTAAAAAGAGATCAGTTCCCAAACACCTCCCTGAACTCAGCTACCAACTGAAAAAAAAAAAAATCTTCTCCTGATGTTTTAGTAAAGAGCAAAAAGTTATTATCAGTTGATCATGAAGATATTTTCATTATTTTGAAGTTCTGAATCTCTATTTCTTAAGTATACTTTATCGTAACAGTTTGAAGCAAACTATATTTTAAACACTTTTGGTTAATAGCTACATCTGCTGGAAAAGCATGCAAAGGGATTTAAACTACACATACATTTTCCTTATTTAAACTTCTTCAAATAAAAAAGTGATTTAATTGTAATAAACATTCTTTACAAATCATTATCAGATATTTTTACCTTAAGGATAGTTTTTCAAACCAAAGACATCTTTAAACATTGAACTTTAAACCAATACTGTCAAAATTCTTTAATATTAAATTTTGACATTTCAGTTTTTTAAATTCTATATATGTTCAAGTTCTTTTATCAATTTTAATTTATGCCTCTACTCTTTTTTTTAGGGGGTGGGGGGGGGGGTAAGCAGGGATTCAACCCAGGAGCACTTTACCACTGAGTCACATCCCCAGCCCTTTTTTAATATTTTATTTAGAAACAATTATCACTAAATTGCTTAGGGCCTTGCTAAATTGCTGAGGCTGGCTTTGAGTGATCCTCCTGCCTCAGCCTCCTGAGTAGATAGGACTATAGGCATGTGCCACTGTGCTCAACTATGGCGCTAACCTTAAGAGAAAATTATTTTCTTCAGATTTAGGCAGGAATAACTTTTGAGAAGTTACCTGCAATAATCATAGAAGTCCAATTTTAAGCAATTAACATGTTTCCTTCTGTTTATTTCTAAAATTCCCAGATTACCTCAGATAACACCTCAATGTAACATTTAGCCTGCTCACATCTCAAAAATATCACTAATGCCAAATAATTATAAAGACAGATAAATCTTGAAACTACATTTAAGGAGAGTGTCATTGCACTCTCCTGTAAAAACAGATAAGACAGTGCCTAAAAGCTAAGTCACAGAAAGGTAAGCAGCAAGAGGGCCTAAGGACAAGACTACAATTTACAGAGGATTGTTGGCAGTTCCTGCACGATGTGACGGATGAGAAGATCCAGGCATCTAGAGAGGTATTCACCACTGCCTTGCTGCTCCTTGCCTGGAGTGGTCTTTCTGCTGTCCCTCTCGATGTACATCACCAGCCTACAAATGGGAAAGTGCACAGATCACCTCTCATGATAAGACAGTTACTAACATCTATCCCAAAAAGCAGCCAAGGCAAGGGTTTCCAGAGGACCTGGTCCCAATCATGTGGACATTTAGATTCACCAATTTTTCAAGCAGAGACAATAGTGATAGTCAATTTCTGCCTTAGAAAGTTCAAAATGTTTATGCAGAAAGAATCTCAGGCAACTTTGAATCTGTCTCCTAGGGTATTACAAAACAATGCCTTGATTTGATTCGCCTTTGGTCAATGGAAGAAAACATTATTCTCCAGATGATAAATGAAAGGCAAACAAAGATGTCTGCACATAAGAGCTTTTTGTGTTCCAAAGATTCCAAGCATAACCACAAGTTGACCTGCACTTTTGGTGATCATCAGCATTAAATTTGATTGGAACCCCAGGCAATTCATATGAATTCCTATTCTTTTAGTAAACTGTATGCATAAATGCAAAAAAAAAAAGGTTTCATTTTACACTGGGTTATATAGACAGCAGGTACTGTCTAAACATCTGGATTGTACATGTCTCTCTACTAGTTTTATAATATCTTTTAACCACAGCAAACCACATCAGTATCTGAATCAAATATTTCCAACTCAGAACTAGAAAACACAATGGACCATGTATCAGACCGGGCCTGATGCAAACTTCAATGGATCATTTCAGCCTTTATTCAGAAACAGAACGACATCTATGGTAATGGATCCCCTTTCCTGGTGGAAAATGAGCCACTGAACAAAGGAGGGGACTGGGCTTTTATAGGTTGTAGGTGATTTAGTGAGCATGTCAGTAGTCTGGACACTCAGGAATTTGAGTTTGGGGGCTGGGAGTCCATGGCCAGCACCTGGAGAAGAGTTATCTTAGAAGAGAATAGTGTTTCCTAGAGGCTATCACTTTAGGTTTGATGAAACAATTTCTTCCTGCCTGCAGCCAGTATCTGAAAGGGATTTACCTAGAGAAAGATGAAACCTATCAATATCTGGCTTTTTTTTTCCAGCCCATTTTCCCAGGCCTCACTATTTTGGTGCTTTTCATGTTCCATATCCAATAAATCATATTATGATTTAGATGTGGTACCCCCCCCCCCAAAGCTCACATGTGAGACAATCCAAGAAGGTGTGGAGGAGAAATGATTGGATTATAGCCTTAGCCTAATCAGAGAGCTGATCTCTGATGGGATTAACTGAAATGGTAGGGTGTGGCTTTGGTGTATATATTTGTATGTGGCAAGTGGAGTCTGTCTTTTGATCACATGACCTGAGCTGCTTCCCTCCACCACCCTCTCCCCCCATGATGTTCAGCCTCACCTCTAGCCCTGAGAAATGGAGCCAGGCTTCTATGGACTAAGACCTCTGAAAACACAATGGACCTCAAACTTTTCCTCCTCTATAGTTGTTCTGGTAGTCATAGCAGCGAAAAAGCTAAAACAGACCATGACCTTAAATATTTAGGATGCTGTTGCTGGCTGAGGCCCTCCCCACTTTTTCTCAAATGAGTTTGATGAACTCAGTCATTTTCACAAGTTCCCATTCCCAGCAACTCTCTAAATGATGAGTTCATGGATTTCATCATGGAAAAGTCCCTTTGCAACAACTTCCCAGTCATCCATCTCTCCATTTCTGTTTTCTTACTCATCCCACTGAACTTTTGCTTCTCAATTCCCACTATAAACTGAAAAGAGGTGGTTTTGTACATAATACAGATACATAGGTATACTGATATCTTGACACAGCATTCATGTGATTCTCAATAGATTTATCCATGCATTCGCCTTTGTTTATTACTATTTATAACCCCATAAGGGAACACACAGGAAGTTAGTCTAGATTCTGCATCAGTTAGCATCCTCTGTTCTAGTCACTGATTATAGATAGCCCTTGCCACACTCTAACAAATGTAAGACACTGGTTAAAATACGAGAGAATATTGATGCATCACTAGGAAGGTATCAATAGTACTTGAAAGTAGCAGCATAAAACTTTCTGATAATGAATAACCATAGAAGAGCAAGACCCCATTCCCTTTTATGATAAATGGACTATAAAAAACATCAGTCATGTAAGTTGTCATGTACTGAATGGAGCCGTCTTGGAGTTCCTAGTCCTGAAGAATCATCATGGCTCATAGCTTCTAAGAGAATGGCAGTAACTCCAAAAACCTTTTAATTAGTTGGGACCTGTTCCATCAGCCCAACCAAGGAGAAGGACAGCCCTACTTCTTCTTGTTTTGCTTGACATCTCTCTGCTAAGCTTTGCCATGGTCAGATTTGGACAGATTTTCCAAAATTAAAGATGGCATTTAAGTACATCACTTCTCAAGATAGGTTTTTGCAGAACCCCCTCTGACTGTATCTGGTCTCGTTTCTACTTGCTAAAATCAAGCACTTCCACTGTGACCATTCATTCCTCAACTTCCTAGGAATTTTATTAATTTAATCTGTGACATTTCTTCTCAATTCATTAGCCCTTGCTTTTCTTCACTTTCTTCATGATTGGAACTACAGATTAGTCAGTTGTTCATGAATATAATGAAATATCTGAAACAAGCTACTTATGAAGAATAGGGTATTTAATAAAGCTCACAGTTTTGGAGATTTAAGGGCTCAAATCATCTGTGATGGTCTTCCTGCTGGCAGTCATGAGGCACCACACAGCATCCATCATGCATCAAGAGACAGAAAGCTCGTGTGTGTTTGTGTGTGTGTGTACGTGTGGTCTCTCCCTCTTCATATAAAACATCAGGACTCAACCATGGGAGCTCAACCCTAATAAATTAATCTAATTCTAATCAGTTCCCAAAGGACCCACTTTTAAACGCTATGATCAGATTAAGTTTTCTCTTCTAATGCCTCACAATAGGAATTATTAACACATGAAACCTTGGAGAACACCAAAACTATATCCAAACCATAGCCAATTATTTCCCACAATCTATTATTTGACTACACTCTTGCTGCTCTTTCTTTTCTTTGCACCCATAAAGCCACATGAACTCTGGATGCATCCAACCATCTATTTTCTACAGAGAAGGATGCTAAAGTAAACTAATGGAGTAAATGTATTCAACTATAAATGCATTAACTCCACTGTTGAATGACCCAAATGGTATCAATGATTCAAGTGGTCACCTTATTCCCAAAGTCTATTTTCAATATTTTCTTCTTTTCAAACCACCAATCTTCCATGTTATCTTGAGATTGAGTGTTGTGCCTCCAAGTATGAACACACAAAACATACAGAAACCCTTCCTTTCACAACAATGGATCTATCCCTTCTTCCATCTATGCTGACCCTTTCATGGTTTTCTAGCAACTGCCCTTCTGTCTCATCTTCTGCCAAGTGTCTTAAAAGGAAAACCTATAAATACTACCTCCACTCTTCTAGATATTTGTTCCTCAATCCTGCTCTATCTGGTTTTCACTCCCATCACTCTCTAAGGTCACCTCAAATCCAATGGGCATTAGTCTGCCTTTACTTGTCGTGACAAGTCAACGTTATTGAATACTGTTCTCATGCCTCCTGTTTCTCTATCCATCATGACATCATACTTTCCTAGTTTTCTTCTCCAGCTTCTTTGGTTGTTCCTTCACACTGTGTGTGCTCCTAAATCTTCAAGTTTATTTAAAAAATGACTTCTAGGCCATTACTTTCCTCTTTCTATCCTTTTGACCCAGGCCATCCACTTTAATTACCTGCCATATTAACAGACACCTTCCAATTCATATCTGGAGCTAAAACCTAAGCCAATATATTCAACTACTGACATGATATCTGCTTTTGTTTGCCTCAACTACACTTCAAACACTATGCAACCAAAATAAACATCATTATCTCACCAAACCTGGTTGTCTTACAACTATGATATCCTACTCTCGACTATTGTTCTTTAGCCTATAAAGGAAACCAGAAACCCAGCAAGTCAATCTTGAAATATTCTTCAAACCCTTAGATTCTCCACTCTGTAGCCAAGTGCAATCTACCATATTCCCTTGTCCTAGACTACCACAACAGCCATCCAGGTAGGTTATCTGCTTGTTTCTGTCAATCTAGCCTCTGTACTCACTACATCTAATCTATTCTCATCCATCCAGCAACTCCCCTATTAGAAACCCTTCTATGGCATCTCATTATTCTTAACATGACAGCTCTCAAAACTCCTTATCATTACCTACAAGGCCTACAAAATCTGCCCCCAACTACCTCTCCACTTCATCATGCTTTTTCTATCCTTCAATCACAATGTCCTTCTTTTAGTTTCTTAAACTCAGTACTTCCCACAGAAACAGGATATTACCTTAACTTAGATGGCTCTTCTCTCCACTTCCTCCAAATAAATTTACATCTGTATGCCATAATTCCCTACAATTTCCACTCATTTCCCTAAATAAAATACTTATATATCATTATATCATGGAAGAGAATGCATTAAAATCTTACCCAACTATAACTTTCTAATACATATTTTTTGATTACTTGATGACACTCATCATCCTTGTAAACTTTAAAGGACTAAATCTGATTCCGATAATCACATCTTTCCCCTTCTGGGCACAGTTTCTGACACGAATTAAGTACTCAATAAATATTAGATGAATAGGTAAATACAGCTGTTGAAATGGCCTTACCGTTTTCTCTAGCTCTCTATAGCAACTGCTTCATCTTTATTATTCCCTAGGCCCTTTTCTTAATTCTAATATTTGATGTTATGTTTGCTTAAAATTTATACTACTGGATTATATAAAAGGTTAAAAAACAAACAAATGAATCTGCTTAGAAAAAAAAATTCCAGGAGAAATATCAGAAGGCTAATAAACTGGGGGAATGTTTTCCATTTCATATCACAAAAGGTTAATGTATATATACACACACATCTCTCAATTAGAAAAAGACTAAAGGCAAGAAAAATCAAATGCACACAGAATTTTAAAAGGAAATATACCCAGAATACAAATGACTCAAGCAAAAATATATTCCACTC